CTCAGGCAATGTGTACGGCCAAACCTTGATCTTGCAGCTGGTCGCTAAACAGATGCATGCACACGTCCTGGCGCCCCGCTTATGCAGCTCCTGTGTGTGTGTCATCTCTCAGGTGACAGTGCATTAAACCCCAAACTGAACCGTGGTATGAAATCCCTAATCAATGACTCTCGATATGTGAGGCTCGTCGATTTATTTTCCTTTGTCTTATGCGAAATTCTCTCGAGATAGCGAGATTTAGGTCCCTCATCGTTTTCGGGCAGTGTCCCGAGTCTCGATTGGAGACTATGTATACTTCGTAGGGATCGAGACCTACGAGGAGTGAGAGAGTATTGGTGTTAGATTGCTAGTTCGAGAATATCGAGCATCCCTAATCGTGAGACCGATTTTGCGATAGGAGATTGTTTTCGAACATCTAGTCGATATTTCCTAAACCGCATTCGAAGTGTTATTCGAGTCGGCTAGGGTAGAGTTGTTGGCAACGGTATCATACAGAGCCGTGTGTTCTGTAGGTATTGGTGTTGTAGATATTGTTATTGTGGATTGTTAGCCCATCCTTATGGGATTCCCGTGGCGGCTTGTTTTATAGGGACGCACGCATCATATCAGCGTAGTAATCGAGTTTTCTACCGTGACCCGGGCACGAGATGAAGCTCGATACAACAAGNCGGTATCATACAGAGCCGTGTGTTCTGTAGGTATTGGTGTTGTAGATATTGTTATTGTGGATTGTTAGCCCATCCTTATGGGATTTCCATGGCGGCCTGTTTTATAGGGACGCACGGATCATATCAGCGTAGTAATCGAGTTTTCTACCGTGACCCGGGCACGAGATGAAGCTCGATACAACAAGTCAACCCTATATGTTGAGTTTGTTGGAGTATGCTATCGAGACACGAAAGGACCGGTTAAGGTCTTGTGTATTGATAGATGAGTAGAGTATGAGAATTCCTTGCCATGCGAGATGACTAGTACGGATGGAGGTGGAGTAGACTGATGTTCTGGTTACTGCCACGCGTACTCAGTCCTATTTTGATTCCTGACCAAGTCGCTGATTTAGCCTGATGGTTGACACCATCCCCGGAACTCGCGAGGATGCATGGCACGTTCTATGCCTCTTGATGGAGGAAACGTGTGCGTGATCTTGGAGTACATGTGTGATGTGACGAGCTGCGTGATAGGCAGAACCCTACCTGTATGAAGGTACCGGTGACCTATTGGATCAGAGGGTCCATTAGGATAAGGCCGGGAGGGGTGCTCGTCAAGTCCAGTGGGAGGGTGGTCAAGGCAAGGCGACTTGGGAGAGGGAGACCGAAATTCGGAGGAAGTACCGGAATTTCATGTGCTGATGTTGTCTCCTCTTATTTCGCGTTAGTATGTTGTCGTAGTTTGTTGTTCAGATTCCGAGGTCGGAATCCTTTGTAAGGTGGGTAGACTGTAGCGCCCCGTTTATTTTTAAATTATTTATTATTATTGTTGTTATTATTATTATTATTATTATTATTATTATTATTATTATTATTAGATGCCTAATTATCTTTAAATGCCTAAATGTTTCTTATTATTATTATTATTATTATTATTATTATTATTATTATTATTATTATTATTATATTACTGTGTGTATTATATATATAAATATTATCCGAATTTTATTTTAATTGTCGTGCGATCAATTGAGCTAGTTTTATTGTCGGAATAAATCGAGCCCGAGAACCCAAAATCGAGCCTTATTATTTTCGGCCCATAAGAGCTAAATAATTTTGACCCAATTTATCTGATATATCCAGCTCCATTTGTGGTTTAATGTTTCTGGCCCAACCTAATTGTTCTATTTTGGCCCAATTTGAACAAATCCCTTGGCCCATAAATGTCTGCGTCCCTTTCTTTTCTTTTCCCAGGAGATTGGATCGAGTCTTCTTCTTCATTGCCGTTCAAATTTTTGTTGCGATTTTCCCTTAAAATTCTCCCCCACGTCTCTCAATCTCGTCTCTCTCTCTCAACCTAGATAAGAAGCAGCAGGCCTAACGTTTCCCCAAAATTCTCGGTTTCTCTCCCTCTCCGATCTCTCTGTCTCCGCGATTCTGCAGCAGCGACGGGAGGAGTTCTCCCCGATTCTTTCGAGCAGCTGCAACAGATTCAGCCCTCCACCTTTAAAATTGATCGAAGCCCTCATACCCTCGCCTCATATCCTCTCGATTGAGTAGCAATCGTCCCTTCGAAATTCCTTTCGGCCGGAAGACAACCGGCGACGCGAGGTAGGTGAACCGAGAACGAGCAGCAGCGGAGGATCTATTCCCGACGTCGAGCCGCGATCCAACCTCCGACCTCTAGCCCAACTGAGCCGCGATCCCTTCAAACTCTGACCTCCGGCCATCCAACGGCAAGAGCACCAAGCCTCAGCGACAGGATTTCCGGCGAGAGCAGCACCAGTCCGACGAGTTCCAGGCGTCTGAGATCGCGCATACCGGACGTTCGAGCAGCGGCGGCCTGTTCCGTCGGTTTATTTTCCGACCAACAGCGGCCCTCTTTCTGTTCGTTCACATCGAGAGGTACTTAGTAGTCAAGCCCTGTTCGAATTTTCAAAATCCGTTAAGCCGGTTGTAGCGGTTTCTTCAAGACGAATCCGAACAGCGGAAGTTTTATCTCGGGCTCCTTTTCAGCGAACAGAGTCAACCCATTCAGACGGGTGTCGCCGTCGACTTCCAGCAGTCCCTGGGCCAAGGAACAGTGGTTCGTATGAGAACCATCTCAGCGAGTGGCAGCCGTCCTCGAAGTCGGAATAGCCACGCGAGTAGCCGAGGTGTCGATTCTTTCTTTCGTTCATTCGACCCGGCCGACCTTCGCGTGTAGATTCCTTGGAGACGGGTATTTTGGCTTGAACTTTCTTATTTAATCCTATTATGTTGATCTTCGAGTTGGATCTCGATTTATTGGTTTTGTATTTAAATCGTATTATATTCGGATCGTCTCCGTTTGTTACCTTGTGGATATATCGTGGATTTGGAACTCTCTTTTGTGTTGAGTTGTTGAATCGAGCCTCGAATTATTTTTACGAGTCTCATCTTGTGGTTGACGTTTGTTGGCTCGAGTTTTACGGTCTGTTTTTGCTGAGTTCTCCATGAGTTTTATATGCCCATTTCCGTGCCTAAATTCAACGTTTTGTTTCAGTGGCCTTATATGTCTGTAGTTTGACGTTAGACTAACGAAGAGGAAGCTTAAGGCATGTGGCCGTGTTCTTACCTCATATGGATATGTTACTTGCTGAACTTTTCATGATTTGGTTGGCATGCTGCTTATATGGATATTTTAGCAAATTTAATTCGGTTATAAGGCCTAAGGATGTTACTGTGAAGTCATGTTAGAAATTGAGAAAAAGAGACATTTATCATGTGTTTTATGGCATTGTTATTTGTCAAATTCTTGATCCTTTGATGAATTTGGTTAGCATGTTGTTGGTATATGGTTTCAGAACCTGGAATTAGTTTGAAGTGCCTTGATTATTTGTGACATGATGTTGAGAAAAGAAAGAAAAAGAAGAGTCATGTAGAGCTTGATGATGAGGCCTTTCTTTGGCTATGTTTGAGCATGAATTTGGAACTGAATTTTTCGTGCCTGTACATGCTGTATCTATGTGTATTTTTTTTTTATTGCTATTTTATGGGATTAAAAATTTAGTACTGTTGACTTGAATCTATGAGCTCAAATGAGTTTTGAAATGTTAGAATGTAGCAGGTTTAATTTGGTTGGGAAATAAAGAAGAATTGCGATTATTTCAAATTGTGGCCTTATGAGATGAGTTGCTGTAGCATGTTATTATATTGATATGGCTGAGTTTATGCTTGATTATTATCAGAGCTTAAATTTCAAATTATAGGGCCTCTGTTGGTGTTGTGTGTATTTCTTAAATTAATTGTTGAATCACTTTGTAGGCATGCTGTGTTGTATGTATTTCTTGATTGGTGTATTTTCAAAGTTTATGTGCTTTTATCTACTTCTTTTGACTGCATTTTGTGCTCTTCCCGGTTTAATTTTTATGTGTTGTGTGTATGTACTCTTACTTGTTTAATTTCCCGTGCTAGTTAATGAAAACACATTAATTAAAAATAATTCGTTAAAATCCGAGGGTTCCAAATTCCACAAAAAATTCCACGAGCTACTTAGTCGACGATTATTCGACTAAGTATAAATTCTCGCTTTGAATTCCCGATTTTCAAGATAAGTATTTTTGAAATATTATCTTGAATAAAAATGTAGGTGTTTGAGGAGTCGAGCCTCAGCCTACTTGCAACCGATCGCGTGATAAATTTATTGCTACTGATCAGGTGGGTTGTTATTCTAAAATTATCTATGCATATGTTTGATTTTAATCATGTTGCAAATTTGGTGTGATCTATGTATGAAAATGAACATGTAGCCTATCGATGTGAGCTGTTACGGCCGTCGGTACGGTTGTCCCCGTCGAGTTACGGTACGGTGCCCTTGTGTGGCAATCTCCTTTAAGTCCTGATATGGCCGTGCCCTTGTGAGGTACGTAAGCCCATATGGAAGGCCGTGTCCGTTACAGTGGCACGTACTCCCGCCTTCGGGTAATGAATCCCCGTTCTGCGGCTAGCGATAGATGTGCACAGGAGTAAGGTTAAATGGTGTGATATTGATTAGGAGATGAGACGTGTTGTGATTATTGTTAATGTTCATGCTGCGACCATACCATTATTATGTTATTCATATGCATAGTGTGAGTACGATATTTAACTGTACTCACTCCCACCTGCTCTTCACGGATGCAGGTTAAGCAGTTGGCGGGTGACGAGGCAAGGCGAGTGGGTGGTCTTGCCTGTTATTTATGTTTATTAAATTTGCTTTCGCTTTTATGAACTCATTATGGTTTATTGGGTTATGTTTGAACTGGTTTGACTTTGGAAAAGTGTTGAACGGATTGAACTCTTGGATTGTACTTTTATTTTATTATTTTTGGATCTTGATAAATGTGCAGGTTCATTCTGATTATTTTGGATAAATTTCTCTTGGTAAAATAAGTAGCGTCCATTGGATTTTAAACTTAAACGAGATTTGCGAAAAATTTACTCTGATTTTTATTAAATAAATTCGATTATCTTTTAAAATAAAGTGGGGCGTTACAATTAAATAAGGCTCAATAATGCAATAAAAACCCAATAACTCTTTATTTGTGAAGATCCCACATTGGATACACAAACTAAAAATATCAGCTATATAAGTGGTTTCATTGTTGTCTATGATCAAAGTAGTATAGGACCGCTCAGCCGGTGTACCCGCTTCTGTTCTTCCGGTTTGACCGGTTACAGCGGTTTTTGACCGGTTTTGATACCTAGCGGTTCCGTAACACTAACCGGACGGGTATAGTGGCCGGTTCCTGGTTAAACCGGTCGAACCGGCCGGTCCGATTTTGATAACATTGGTTTTTCGTACTTGATGGATTTTTTTGAAAACCCGATGAACTAGTTTACTATAATGAATTGGCACATGTTGACTTGGTATGCTTTTGATGATGATTATGCCATGATGATATGTCAATGATGATTATGTTTATGATTAGGATGTTGGATAATGATATCCTTTTTTAAAACTGGGTAATGAATTTCCGTAAGTTCAGATACGACTTGAACTGTTTTATGAAATAAATGAGTAACGCCATTAAATGTTTTAAAATCGAAAATGAATTTCGAAAATGTAACTATGATTTTTGAAAAAGCCATGGATTTTCTTTACAAATCAACGGGGTGTTACAATACATGTGAAGTTTCAACTTAAGATGATTTGAATTATATGCTATAGAAATTTTTAAGTCACAGCATGTATAGTTGCTTTTTGTCTCGAAAATTTACAGCCAATACTCATGCTTTCGATCTGAAATTTATATAGCTATGCCTTGTGGATGTTATAAGATTTATGCTGAAGTTTCAGCCCCAGATGTTAAGTGCAGCGTGTTGTGCAAATTTTCAAAGTTTAAGGTATAAAATGCATATTTTTAAGTGTTGTTTGTTTCGAATTTTCTCAGCCTATAGTTATGCATTTAATGGCTATGTCTTGTATATGTTTTGAGTATGCTTGCCAATTTTCAGCTCTAGATGTTCAGCATAGCATACTATAAAAAATTTTGAACCTGAAGGCATAAAGAGTATGTTTTAGGTGTTGTTTTACCTTCAGATTTGCCCTGCTTATTTACATGATAATGAGCTGAGATTTTGAATGATATTTTTTGCATATGTTGTGAGTATTATTGTTCAGTTTCAGCTCCATATGAGTTATATAGCATTCTATGATTTTTTTTTTTGAAGTTTAAGTTGCATTAAGTGTTTATTTTGTCCATATTGAGATTAATATATTGAACCTCTGATATTGGTGTTTATTGCTGAGTTTAAGTTGAGTTACGAGGAGTATAAGTGCAACCTTATTCAGTTTCAAAGGCATGTTCAACTTAGAAGATGTTTATTTGTTGTGCAATGGTCTTGTTTTGTTGATGATTTGGTGTGATTTGCCCTTGAGTTTTGTTGCTGAATTTTTGGTGTGTATTATGCGATGTGGTTGTGTTGATTATGTGGTATTTGTTTGACTTTGGTTTGGTTTGTTGAGAGAAAAGGAAAGAGAAGAGTGAGGGTTTTAGCCTTGTTTTTTAGGTGAGCTTTAAACCCTATAGACCTGGTTAGAGAGCCCATTAAATTAGCTTAAGATATCACAGTCATTAGCCGGAGAAAGTCACCGGAGACCGGCGAAAGTCGCCGGCAAAGACCTTCAGCCGTAGTTGATGCTCGGTCTAGGAAGCAGGTACTTGCAGACGGCCTTGTCCGCGCCTTACCTCGTGCAGCCCGCAGACACCGCCCGATGCTCACGCGTAGACGACCTCGCTCAGTGCCCGCGCGGCCTCATCTTCGCGCCCGTGCGCCCTGTCTACAGCCAACCGACACCCAGCGTCCCCGCGCCATGCATTGCAGCGCCCCAGTGCCACAGCTTCGCGCCCGTGCGCCTTGAGTCCCTGCGCTCGTGCGCCATTGCTAGCCGACGATGCTCTGCACCCGACAACGTCTATAGCACGCCTCCTGCCACAGTCGCTCGCGCCTGCCGCCGAGACTGAGCCAGTACCAGCAGCCGACAGCGCACCAGCGCGCGCCAGCGTCCCAGATAGTACCAGAACGGCTAGCGTGCGTGCTTAGCCAACCCAGCCGAGGCACAGCACGCTTGTGCGCCCGAACCCCTTGAATCCAGCCATGGCTGAGTCAACCCCAAGCGGTTCGGCAAGAGAACCGGGTCTGATCGGACATGGACCGTCGGTTCGAGTCAGACCCGAAAACCAAGTTTAGTTTTTCAAGCCTAAGTTAAGGTTCTGAGAACTTTAGTCAAGTCAAGTTTAGCTGAGCAGTCAGCAACAATTTTATCTGTCTTAATTGTCTCTGTGTGTGTAACACCCTGCTTTATTTTAAAGGATT